TCGAAGAAGTTTTTAAAAAATAATAATATATAGAAAGTGAGACATTAAAATATATTTAAAATGTTCAGTATTTACATAATAGACTACATAACACTCCTGGTATTCATACTAATTCACTTAACACGGAACATAAATGGTCTGAAAATAAATATTGATGAAAAATATGGATGAGAAATAATACACATATAAATATATATATAAATAATCGAGTTATGGCGGAGGTAGACGATTCTATTTACATGTATATAATCTTGTATATCTGGAGAAAGCAGTCAGAATGGATAATAAACGGTGGTGGGGGGAGATGCAAGGAGCCTATTTAACCAAATAAATAAATTATTACAGACAAGAGACGACTAGATATAGGATCAAAACTATATAAACTATAGCTACTTTTTATATTTTTATTTTATACTTTATAGCAATTTTATCTTCTAATATTACGATATGTTGCAGTCCCTCATCTATGAAAGCGAAACTTGGAACACGGCCAAATTAATTAAGTGCAAAGCCCCTAATAACAACTCAATTGACGGTCGAGTAACCTGAAACATTCTGAGCTAAGAAAATGTGCTGGTGCCAGAATGCCGTTGGACCATCAGATAATGTGAGATTCAAGACTTGTTGCTCGATGGCTAGATAGGAGTGGCGTCCTTGTAACTTGCAGAAGTGGTGGAAATAGGTAGTTAGTTATAAAAATATTCTGAGGATCTGAATCATCAGTGGGGAACCTCCCAGGGTTTTCTCTAGTTTTATCCACCAGACCGCCGTTTTTAGAGCTCTAATACTGTATTGAACGATTCTGCTTACATAGATGGGCTTATGTTTAAATGATTCCTAACTGGATTTGTTTGCAAAAGAGCATTGCTGATGCAGATATGTATGTGTAATTCTATACTGTCATCAAATCTTATGTCCATAGTTTGCTTGAATTCCATTACCAAGATTCCCTCTCCAGTGCCGGGTATATAAACAGAATCGCCTAATACAGTATTAGAGCTTTAAAAATAGGTATGGTAAATTAAACTGGTGAAACCGCTGATAAAGTTCCCCACTGATGAGCCAGGCCATTTTTCATCGCAGGAAGACAGTAGGATGTTTCCTTTATTTGAAAAATAAAATTCGGGTTCTAATGGCTTCTGTTAGTGTATATAGAGGGGGCGTTATTCATTCTAAAAATCCTTTCATTCTCAATCCCACTAGGTAAGACGTGATGTCAGCTAGAGACACTCAGATAACCACCCACTTCCTATACTTTACATCCTACTTCAGCCCTTACTTCTCCACCACCATCAATGCTGGGGAGACCACTTCTCGATTGACGTCCCCGTTGACCCTAATGCGTCCTGAAGGGAAGTGAGTGTGTGTTGGACTGATAATCATAATGATAGCGGGTAGTTTGGGAAGGAACTATATAAATAGGGGAGGAAATATTCACTTCTACTCTAGCCATTCACCCAGAACTCCCGTTTGAAAATGGCTGTGCGGATTTATAATGTGTGTATGATTAAGGTATATGCTATTGTTTTCAAAACATAGCCATCCTAATAATAAAATATTTATAGATAATACAAGACATATATATAGTCAAAGTGAAATGTATTTGCAAAAATTTCGATCGGCTCAACTTAACTCTTTCACACAAAATGAATACGTTGTTATACCTTGATAAAGGTTGGGGTTCAGCCAACCCAAATATTGGTAATTAATTTTTGATTCAATACATGCTTTTTTATCTATATATATTTATAGCTTTAGGTTAAGTCAGAAATCTAACGCAAAGTCGCGGTAAACAATGCGGAAGGCTCTAAGTGCACTATCGAACAAATTATTTTAACATTCTGTTAAAAAATAGAAGTGGATGCGCCTATTCCAAAGTATAAAAAATGCCTATTGCCCCTAACAATTGGGGGTTGAGCAACAATAGGAATAAATAGAAAGCTATTTATAGAGAATCACAATTCATAAAAATCCAATTATAAACAAATATGCTACAACAGCCCAATAAATTGTTCGTTCTAAAACAAGCAATATAGGGAAGTCCCATCTTTGGAGGTACGCCTGTCGCGAGTGCCTCCTATTATTGGAAGGTAAATTTATATTTCTTTAAATGAAGCTGTCAAGATACGCTGGGTGAATCCACTACGTACAGCCTGCACCATGTTGATGAGGGCCAACACTCGATGCGCGTACGTGGTTGATATAATTCAAGAAAGGTGGTATTGGCTAATTCCCGGAAATAATAAAAAAAAACAACGTTCTGTTGTTATTTTTCCGATAGGTGGCAGTAAGCCATCATCACACAATCAGGTGATACTCTTTTATTATGTTACCTTACTGTTCATACTTTTCTAAGTTTTAAAAATAGAGCAATTCATATTTAAATCATTAGATAATAAAAAGGCATATATATTGGATTTAATAAAAGTTTTATTCGCCAATATTTCGGTTGGCTGAACGCCAAACCTTTATCAATGCATTACATTTTTGTATAAACTGTTTTTATTTTTGTTTATACAAAAATGTAATGCCTTGATAAAGGTCTGGCGTTCAGCCAACCGAAATATTGGAAAATAAATCTTTGATTAAATCCAATATATACTTTTATAAGTATGAAAGGAAAATGTTTTGAGATTTTCTAGCTGAAGTGGTGACCCAGTGAATATAAAAACCTGGATCTGTTAAAGAAAAAAAACAAATGTTTAGATGGATTGCCCCTTCTTTATCAATGTATTGCACAAAAAACCTGTGTGAAAAACAAAGAGATTTCTCATTTACCTGCAACTTTTTGGTATTTCCTATCGCAGAACTGTGCAGTGAACAAAGCGCTATTAAAAATGTCGAGCAACGTGACGTTCAAAATGTAAACAGGGCATGACCTAATCAGGGAGGTGAAGAAAAAGGGGGATGGATGCTTATTCAGCATGAACAAGTCAAAGACGTAATTCTGACAATGGGGGTATTACAGAGTGGCCCGTGCACAAATCCACACGACACTGCGCACTAAGGCAATAGTGGGAAATATTGTATCAAACTGAATGGTATTGTTGTAGAGACGCAATCTTTACCAGGTGTAGAGGAGAATTATACCTAGTCACAGTTGGGGCATAATTAAAGAAAAACCTACAATCTGATTCCCATCACTGGGCCACAACTGTCAGTTCTTCGGCTTTGTGTCGCCCCAACTACGAACAACTGTATAATAAAACTTCTCGTAAACGATAACTAGAGTGGACATGTGATATATCTACAAAGTTATCATTGTGAAAATAGAGCAATCCATATTTAAAACATTCGATAATAGAAAGGCATATATTATATAATGAATTAAATATGGATTTCTCTATTTTCAAAACGATTTTAACCAGTTTTGGTACCGACGCGCTTCGCCTAGCAAGAACAATGGAAAGGCTTAGACTTTCTATCAACAGTTGGAGGCAAATAAATCTTTTATTAAATCCAATATATGCCTTTTTATTATCGAAAGTTATCATTGTGGCTGTGATTTCTCTCTAGATCAACTGCCGTATTTTCTCCACTCAATTATAAACTGTATATATTGACTTACCGTAATTTACAACGAATACAAGTGATATTATAATTAGTTATTTAATAACCTGTAATAATTAAGTGTAAAATAATATATCGGCGGTTGTATATAAGAATTGTGTACACACCCCTATTATAGTTTAAAACATTATTTGCATATTTATATTATGTATTTTTAAAAGGCAAGTATTTTCCTAGGGAAGAAAGTAGACCTTTATATGAGTAGGCGCATATTATATATATGGATTGACCTTACCAAATACACTTATTATATTTTAAAACATTATTTTACCATAAAAGTATTTTTTAAAACATTAGTAAAGTAAACAATAGTATTTAAAATAAATTCAAAACTATAATATAGCAAACAAATCCCGGGAGAAGCCGATGTCAAGTGTATATTATAAAATAAGAGAGACACAAAATCTTTAATGTATTTCTCAAACTCTGCAATCATTCCGAGAGAAACGAAAAATAGCTCTCAACTATCCACGAATTTGACTTCAAATGTTTCATCGGCGCACATTGCTTTCGCCGCCACCAGAAATGTATTGGAAGTGTGTCGTCAGAGATAAAGGAACCCTGCTCTAATCCAGAAAAGAAAGGGGTCAAGCAATCGTCTTTCGGAACTTGCTTAATGCAAGCAGTTTTTATAGAGGATATAGTGAGATGGTAGGTCAACTTGATAAACCACTAGAAGGGAGAATTCACCAAACCCTCCCAATATTTACACATCATCTGTTTGTCGATATTTATTTCTGAAAAAAAAAAATAATTATCCCTAATATTTCTAATAATATATCAAAAATTTCCGCAAAGAAATACTTTATGCATTTGTATTTATCCCCATTAGCTTTAAAAAACAATTGGGCATATAAATTATACAAGAAACAATATGATTTTCCCACAAATGACATTAATTTATAAATATAAAGTAATTGTGAAAATATAAAGAGAGATAGATGTTCTTAATTCAAGCGTTTCAAAGATCGAATCTTTTAATCGATTCCTCCACATGACCCTTTTTTATCGCTTCATAACCAATCATTTAGTTCAACACTATAGACAACCATTTTGTAGACTTACAAAATGTAAAAACGGCATCTAGAATTCGGCTAAGAACAAAAACGTATTCTGTTGATACTATTCATCTTTGGTCTTCAGCAGTTCAAATAAGATCTTAAAGGTTCACACACTTCTTAAGCCCATATCGCATTGAATATGTACAGGCAGATTTTAGTTCACCCAGATACTCCGTATCAACGAATAACGTATGAAAAAGCGAAAGTTGTGTAAGCTTATGATTTTGCTTTGTTTTAAAAATGAATCGATGTTGGTTCCATATGTTTGAATTGAATATTACACCTTAGTTCTATATATTTTATTGCTTAAAAAGGAACACAACATCGATTCATTTTTAAAACAAAGCAAAATCATAAGCTTATACAACTTTTACTTTTTCATAGAGAATACATTGGTTGTTGTCCGATCACCGAAGTTAAGCAACGTCAGTCCCGGTCAGTGCTTGGGAGGGTGACCACTTGGGAACACCGGGTGCTAATTCTTCTTCCTTTTGTGCGTTGTTTCCATAAAATTGTTAGAGGGGGCACACGCAAAACCCAACGCCATCCTCTACATCGCTTCAAGAGTTAGCTAAAACTATCAGTACAATCAACTAGACTGGTTTTACCATAGGAAGACAATGTGGGTGCATTTACAGTACGCTCTCCTCCGTGTTTTCCAAGATTAGGGAAACAAGCAGCCTACCATGGTCATACCAAGACCATGAACAAAGCAAGATGTAAACAAACCGTCTGTATTTACAGTAGCCACTTCCCTAGGCCTAAATATTTACTGTCACATCACCTTGTTGTTGTTGAACATGTCGCTGTTGTCCCCTTCCTCCCTTCAATCACATTTCAACAATCTGTAACATTTGGTTGAATAATGTCGACGCAATCTCCTAACCTTGTTTCAGCGGAAAGAGAAATCCGAATAGAAAATTAATATGTGATTTAAATATACACATTATTTAATAAATATACACAGTAGAACACTCCCAGAAACACTCTTTTAGGATTTTATTTCTTTCTTAATATATTTTAAAATAGTTTATTAAATTATTTTTCTCCCATGCATCTTTTCTTTTATCGGTCAAATGACCTCTATTTTAAAGCATTGATTTACATTCTAAATGTGTCATGAGTTTTCAATTTATTACTTAATAAAATCCTCATATTTGTTCTATTTTGTTGATGTATTTTGGATTTTCTCTTTAGAACATCCAATCAAGTATTTTAATTTGGCCTGTTTCATGACCGGTCTCTTTTTTGGAAGCTCTTTATTGCATTGATATAGTAACAGGTTGATTAAAAATGAAAGTTTGGGAACTGTGCCTCTCAATATATTGTTGTTAGGAAAGGCTCATGTAACATATGTAAATGCTTTTATTCTTTTATTTATTTTTTTCTCGTTTTCCTGTATGAGATTAATTGCTTTAATTAGGTTTCCTTCTCTATATACGCTCATGGACAAAACTTGAAGAAGTTGTACCTTTTTGTATGTATATCGGGATTCAGACAATAACTCTGAAAGATATTACAGTGACCTTTATTGAATATACCCGAGATAACCAAGTGTGAACAAAATTGTCTCCGTCTCCTTCAAAAAACAGACGACGGGTGACATCAGAAAATTTCCACTTGCTTAAGTTTTGTCCATGGGTGTATATAAAATAAGAATTTTTTTTATTAGATGTAAAGAAAGATTTAAGATTTTTATTATTCTTTCCCTTTATAAAAACTCTATTTGAATCTCTATGTAAAATATTATATGTCTTAACAAACGCTTTTCCTGTGTGTTTATATTAGGAATAAGCGCACAGCCAGGAAATCAGCCAACAACATCTGGGAAAAGTAGGAAGAAAATACCAGATAAATACTAGAATGTCGAGATCAACAAAATTATTTTTTTCAAAACTCCATTTTTATCTCTGAGACACTTTATCGCCTCGTTTTGATATGAGTGAACGTTTCAAATAAGAATTTGTAATTTCGGATCCTAATGGAGAGGACATCATTTTTTTTTTAATAAAAAATTATTATTGGTTATTTTTGTTTTCCAAGATGTTAACCTATATTTATCATTCTTCTAAATAATTAGCAAACATTGCAAGAACATTTATCCGTTTATCTTGTACTTTTTGCTATATTTATAGAGTTTTCTAAGGTACGTAGTGAGTGTCTTTATATATTTTTTATTTTTCTATTGTTTTTTCATGTGTTAAGCGTATTCACGCAAGTTTGGCCTTAAATACCCTTTTCTTGGTTTCTCAAGAAGCCACTGGGACCAAAAATATTCTTGGTCGCAGTGGTACAGTCTGCTCCACGCTGACGAGCCCCAACAGCGCGAAACGCATTCGTGGATGGCTTTTATTGATTTATCAAGAAATTGGGTTGGCCAAATATCAGGGAACAGGCTAAATCAATGCTTAGTTGATTTCTGTTCCACCAGATGGCGCTCTGCCTTCTGAAAAGCACATGTGCTCCTGGTCAGGATATGCCTACTCTGTTTTTAATATCAACACCTATCTTTTTATTTTTTTCTATTGTTTTTTCCAATTAAAAGGTATATAGGGTATGATGAGACATACCCTAGTTTGGTTGGTGTGAGGTTAGTTAACCTATGACTCTGCGACAAAAAGGTCTTAGGAATGCTTACTATGGAGATCGTATTTCTTTTAGGTAGATGTCACTACCTTTTGTAGTTATTATATCTACGGTATGTTTTAAAACTCTTTTTTTCCGACATTACTATTAATTACATAGCAGTATTTACATAAGAAAATAACAACGGCTATATACAGAGTAAAGTCAGTTTTACATGAGTCAAAGTTTCAGTTTAGCAGGTAATGATGAATATAGAGACATTGAGAGAGTATATACATTAGACATGAGACTCTAAAAGAGAGTCAAACTCGGTTTCAATGTTGTAGTTATAGTTAAAATCGGTGCTTATCCAGAATTTGTACATTACATATTTGGAAAAAAATGTGCGTCTTATCCGTTGTCTACAGCATGTCTTCCTTATCCTGGTGGACAGGGAGCTGGCTGTAGCGAGATGTTAGGCTGGCAGTTTTTAGAGAGGTTTTTCTTTAGACAATTATAGTCGTTCCAACAGAATAAGACAACAGGAGATTGTCTTTTTAATTTTTAGGTAAATATTTTAGTTTTCAATTACTACCATATTAATGAGGCTAATGTTATTATTTCTAACTTTACAAGCCCCTTAAGGGAGTCAATCCTATTTATCAAGTAAAATGTGAAATACGTGATTATTGAATGAAAACTAGTTGTAATTTTCTTCAGTTTTTACATACGTACAACTTGGATCCTGATTGTATACTTATATATAGAAATTTATTGGGGGAAAATCCATTTAAACTTTAATTTAATAATCATGTATTTGGTTATGTGTGTTTGATAAAAAGGATTCCTCCTGAAAGCTTGTAAAGTTAGAAATAAAAAGCATTGATGTCATATTAAGAATGTAGCAATTGAAAAAATCGAGACGTTATATATTTGTTAAAAAAATTGTAGTTTTTGTATAATGTTTCGTAGACTGATTCTCCCAACCATTTATCGCGTGTTCCTAGCGCTGTTAGCATCCATAAGTCTGGTACAAGAGTCCACACGGACTTAGAGGAGAAGTCAGCCATGTCAAATTGTCAAACTACTGCTGCCAGGTGAAACAAGACAACGGAGGAATCCCGGGAGCTGGACGCAGTAAATCATAAGTTGGAATGTCGCCGTGCCGTGAATTGATCTCTCGGAGAATTCCTCCACTCGGTTGAAATGGATTTTTAATGAGGTCAAGTTGTTCCATAATATATCGCGGCGGCGACACTTTCTCCTTGAGGATTGGGGACACTCTCTCTCATACCTGGTGGGGGGTTTGGAAACTGTGGTGAAGTCATCGAATGATGTCACTTGGAGGACGTTCGCTTACTATTACTTTTGTGTGCCAGAGTTGATATTAAGGGAACGTTCTTAACTATGGCGCGATACAATTATTTAAACTTCAGATATTTATAAGATATAACGAAAATATCTCACCACACCAAAATAAATATGGTTAAAATGTTAGAGATTACTTGTGTTGTCGACACATATTCCAAGTATACATGGCTATAATAATCTTGATGGGAGAGGTTTATGAATGCTTATAGGGTAAGTAGTACACCATGAGTGTATCTATATTTGAAGAAGCATTTCGACACTTCTGCATTTACAAGGTATGTCAGAACACCTTTGGTTACTTACACTTACTGTCGAGATTGGATTTGGGAAAGAATCGGTGTGTGGCCATTGAAGAAAATAATACACTCATAGATAAAACTTAAGAAAATGGAATTCTTTGATGTCGCCGGTCGTTTGTTTGTTTGAAGGAGACAGAGGCAATTTTGTTCACACTTGGTTATCTCATGTGTCTTCAATAACGGTCACTGTAATATCTTTCAGAGTTATTGTCTGAATTACGATATACATGCCAAAAAGTACAACTTCCTTAAGTCGTGTCCATGAGTGTATCATATACATTTTTGAAAGCACACACACTGCTTTTATCCGGATTAGGAACATGTACTACTAAATACTACTATACTCTATAGTGTTGAGCCAATCAGCGGGACGATGTTCTGTTCTGTGCTGCAAGTCGGCAGACTTGACCATAGTTATGTAATGAGTGGTAGGGGCGACAATAGTACCTGTGGACCAAATTATGACCCCATTGTCCGATTGTCACTCCAGGATATTGTCTCTGACAGTCCCCTCTTGTTCTAATTGGTTGTATGGTCCCCACAGCAACTCTTATCGATCATTCTTGTGTAGTGCCCTCGCTTTCCTCAAGGTAGCGAAGAAACGATCATTTAGAGATGTTTGAAGAGAAAACAAAGAAAGAGATGAACTTGAGAGAAGGCAAAGACAAGTCCAACTTTAAGAGAATCCGAAGAAAATTAAAATTTAAAAAGGCATTTGTATATTCGAGGCAGTAATATCATGTTTGTTAAATATAGCACATTGTGTAATTTATAGGTTAAAGATGGAGATATTTGGCGCTATTTCTTTTTTATATAAAAACATATCGGACAGATTCCTACAATTAATGAAGTGGAGAGGGGGAAAATGGGAAGGCTTGGTTCATCAGTGGTAAATGGGAAAAATCGCTGGGAAGGTTCACCACTGAAGAGATAAGAAAAAGAGCCGTTACCCAGGCGGCAGAATTTGCTGGACGAAGTTGAAGGCGGCCCGAGCCTGGAGTCAACACAACTTAGAGTGATCGCCAATGACAGATCCCCTTCCGGGTCAGAGAAGAGAAAGAGAAAAAAAAAAGAGAGAGCGATGAGGCAAGCCTTCCCAAATATTTTTTCTTTTCACCTCACTAATTGTAGAAATCCGTTTTATATATGAAAAAGAAATATCGCTAATTAATGTCCATCCTCAAATTACTAGTATAAAACCAAAGGAATGGTGCAATGTAGTGAAGAAAAGTAAATAATGACACTTGG